TTAATTTAGTAAAATACTCTTAGATGTTCGAATGATATTAACATATCTTGAAGATATGACCCTTCCTTTTTCTTCTTTTCCTTTGATGTCAACCAATAAACTTGTTTTTAAATAGGGGAGGTCAAAAGAATGTGGACAGCAACACAGTTGCATTTCAGACGTGAGTACAAATCGCATTTAGTTTTTTTTTGTTTCTTTGTTTGTAAAGACAAACGTCTAAACCAAATACATTTTAGTGCACTGACTCATCGACCATTAATTTAACTGTTGTATTCCAGATCTTATTAGGACTTTGGTCTTCACAAAAATTAAGTCATCTTATGATGTCCAGATTACTTACTGCATAATTCTCAATATGCAAGAGATGATTTTTTAGTCATCATGTTTTACTCCTCAAACGAATACTGCTGCTGATTGATTTGGTATTCTGTTAGTTGTAAACCTGCTTTTTTAAGAGTCATCATCTCGGTTATTCACGTACGCTATCCATTATTTCTTTCTGCTTTGCAGGGGAACCAATGAATTAAACTATGCAGTGAACAAAATATACGATGATCGGTAAATATCTAATTTAAAAATACTGAGAATTGTGGCATTTTTGGTAGAAATGTTTTCTTCTGGTCCTCCTTGCTGTACACTCGATTACATAAACTTTGATACTTAAAAGACAATCGACGATGAGACCCAAAATTGATAAGAATAGGTTATTTTATTTGTAACAATAGTGCGCATTTCGATCGAGAGTGGTAAAACAAAAAGCGAACTAAGTAGTACAATGGCCAATCAGAACAAAGGACTGAAATATCACAGGCAACCCAGGACAACTCAGAGCAAACAGGCGAACTACCCGAGAATTTGAGAATTTGGTGAGTTAGGAAAGCGGCGCAACCGAGGCAAACCCGAGTTACTTCAGACACTCACCTGGAAAATTCTCAGACTATTACATGGAAGACTTAGAAGTTCCAGAACTGCATTTGAAGATATATATCTATGCTTTAATCATTAACAGTGTTATATTTTTCTTCTGATAGGGATGAGGTGGTGGCTGACGGAAACTAAAAAACTTAAGCAGGAAGGATATGTTTTAGCCTATTAGTGTTTTAAGAGATTTTTAAAAAAAAAATTTTAAAAAAATCCACTGAGGATTCTAATCATTTTCCCTAATAATAGTCGAAGTAAAAAACGCCACGCGAAAGTAACAGATACTGTCTTTCTTATTAGTAAGAGGAGAATGAGTTAGGTAGCCAGTTTTTGAATGTGCAAATATCTTCTCTGAAAAGATGGTTAATTTTAGGTTGTTGTTGTCTGAACGATGTAAGTTTCTAGGAGTAGATGATAACTGTCTCATAGAGCGTTTTTCTATTGAGTGTCGTAAACCGAAAACCAAAGTTATCACA